TCGGTTCTTCATGGGCGATGGCTTCGTGTATTTTCTTCCGAAATGCGCACACGTTGTTCAAGGCGCGCGAACCATCCTTAATCAAAGGTGATCTTCTTTCCTTGACCTTCAACAATGGCTCCACTGAGCTTCTGGACAGTATCTTGATCGTATCTGGTATACTCCGGCTTTCCTTGCCTAGCCTTGCCCGGTCGCGACTGGCGAGGCTGCTCACCCGTCGAATCGTGCTCTGCAGGCCCAACCTCGCTGATGTCTGCGGTATCGTTCTTCTTGCCTTCGCCGTCCTTACCGAATCGCTTCTTATAGCGCGTCGTGGCATCTTCGGCAAATTCCATGCGCATCCGCCTACCGAGCAGGTTGTTCACCCACACTCTCTTCTGTCGCGGTTTCTTAGACTTTTTGCGGCTTTCGGCGTCGGACTCTTCTTCCTCTTCATCCTCCTCTTTGACCAGCACGTAGCCCTTCACCGCTGCTTCGGCTGCTGCAAGATCCTCAAACACTACCCAAGCATAACCCTTGCATTTGCCGGAGTCTTGGAATGTGGCCACATGTACGTTTGCGATAGTCCCGCATTGGGAAAAGTGCTCTTCGATAAGTTCCTTCGTAGCGTCGAAGCCGAGGTTGCCGACAAATATCCGCTTTGACGGGGGATTTCCAGATGCTGCACCCGAACTTGCGTTCTGACCCTCTCCTTTAGGCTTCTCTGGCCTTCCGGAGAAATTCTTTGCATCTTTGATGAGCACGCGACGTCCGGAGAGAAGCTGTTCACTGAGGCCCATTGCCTCCTGGGAGGCCTTCTGCGTGGAGAAATCGACGTAAGCAAAACCTTTGTTCTGGGCTTTTCCATGCTTATCAGCAGACTTGGGCATGTGAATTCTCGTGATGGTCGTATCTGCAAAGGAGCAGTTGGTCGTAAAGAACTTGCGCACGTCATCTTTCGTCGCGAAAAATGGCAGGTTTCCGATCCAGACGCCATACTCGGACCGCTTCTGAGTGGCAGCGTCGTCATTGTCTGCAGGAGTCCCCTCTGTTTTCTTCTCCGTAGTGGTATCCGAGGGGCCTTCTGCGGCCTTCTTCTTCAGCTTTCGCAGAGCCTTCTTTGAGGGAGGTTCCGGTGCAGAAACATCGATCTCGATCTCGGAGACCTCTGGGAGCTTGCGCTTCTTGTGATTTTCCTCGCCTATGCCAGCCATGATGTAGTGGGTGAAGTAATATGAAATAGAAAATATACTTCACAAAATAGGTGACCAAAACCAATGGGAGGGAAAAAGAACCTTCACTTGAAGAAGTCTCAGCGGCAATCACTAATAGCGGAGGGAAACTTTTTTTTACGGCAGGCAGAAACTCTCCGCCTCAACACCAGATCCTCCAGATCGGCGGACCGCTTAAACGTGACCGGCCCAAACACGGCCATCTCGAGCCTCATTCAGCCTTCGCTCCTGTCCGCCCCTTTCACCCGCCCACGACTCTGCAACTTGAGGCGCCATCCAGGTTTCTCGTTGTTTGCTTTGCTCATCTGTCATCATGTCGCATACCATTGATGATGCCCAATCCGTGACTGAAAGTCTACCGGATGCCCCCGGGGGCGCCCCTACCAAACAGTCGTACCGATCATTCAAGTGAGTGTGGTCCCCTGAATGCCTGGGTTGGCGCGGTGCTAATTCGACCGATCTACTATTTAGGAAGAAGTTCGCGAAGCTTAAGGTTAAGTTCGAGCTGCAGATGCGAGAGAGCGAGTCTCTCATCCGTGAAGGGTTGCGTATCGAGGATCTGTCCAAGAGGATTCAGGCACAGAATGAGTATGTTGCGCGCCTACATCTATAGCTTGTCGGTCGCTTACAGTTGATCAACCTGCAGTCAGCTCCTAGAAGTTCTCCTGGAATTCAACGACAGTCTCCATGTGTCCCCAAGTGTGCGGTACGATCTGAGCGCGCCGGAAGATGCATCCTTCTTACCACCACCCGAGCGAGACATTCCGAAATCGTACAATGACCCTGCCGTAGCGAGCTCTGTCTTACAAGAAGCCAAGGCTAGACTGGCTGCTGGACGTTTGTCTAGCGATGCTTATCGTGAGGTGGAGGAGGATGTCAAGCGCGGACAGGCTTTTGCACCGCGTATGCAGTACAGCACCCTGTCGACATTCCCCCATTCCGCGCCTTTGCAGCCAGAGAACCCCGACGACTGGAATCCCGCGCAAGAACTTGGGTTTCTCACTCCCGAATACGAGACCGAATATTGCCTGGCTCTGGATGCTAAACTGGGCGACGAAGAGGCCCTGGAGCAGCTTGAGGTTGTTCCCAAAAAGCCATCACTAGCGGAACGCGAGAGAGAGGCTGCTCTTCGGAGCCACGTCTCTGTACACAATTGGTTACGCCAGAATCAGCCCCAAATATTCCTGCAGGACAACGAAAACGCCTCGGAAAAGTCCGGCTCTCGACCCTCCAATCTACGCACTTCCAAGCGGGCTCCGGCCCAATCACGCAAAGAGGAGGATGTGTATGATGATGACAGTATCCTGGAAACTGCGTCCACCTCTGGAGGTACGAGAGGCAAACGCAAGCGCGATGAAGATAGCGGTTATCGGCCCAAGGGTGGTAGCAGTCGCTCAAACCGGAAGAAGAAGGATGATGAGAATGCCACCCCCAAACGCCCTTCGAAGCGATCTTCGGGCGTAGGTGCCTGAGACTGTCGATCGACAAATTCGGATCTTTTCCTTTTGTATCAATACATACTTTCCTTTCACACGTCTTCTTTGCCAATCATGTTTGCAAGTCCCATCGGAATCACGGCAGATAGTGATCCATTTCCAATAATGGGAGCGGACAAGCCTGCTACACGTTATGGGTCTTACCAAGGGGTCATCCCCAGTTACAACCATGAATTTCCTATATCCGCGTATTCATCTGATCCATTGCTGTACTATGTGTTGGAGCGGCGGCTTCACTACTTACCTCCCCGCGCTGCTATTATGATGTGATATACCTCAACAATAATTACGGAAACCTTATAACTAGATGTCGTAAATCCGATGTGAAAGCAGTCATGTAAAACCCGATATACATTCATACAAATTAGACTAGTAGGGAAATAACAATGCTAGTGTTACCCATTCTCCCGGATTGGGAATGCGGCTTCACGTGCGGCTCCACCAGCGGTTTGCCTGGTTTGCTTGGCATGCCGAAAGTCTTGTCCGACTGCAGCTCCAATACTCCGATTTTCACGAATGCCCTCTATCTGAACGCAATAGAATCACCTGCTCGGCCATTGGTATATCTCGGAGCGGCAAACAGATCTCTACACTATGGCCATTACTATTCTTCCTCCGGTTGTGGAGGATGTCGACGTTCCTTACTCCGATTCGGAGGACGATGCCATGTCCGTGGATTCAGATGGAGGAGTCGATCTAGCAGCGGGAGATGCCACAAGACCTAGCAAGCGGGTTCGCTTAGTGGAGGGAACAAATATTGGCGCTGGAGTTCTCACACCGGGTGAGATCGTAACAGACGACCCGCAATGGATGAGGTTGGTTTGGCCCAATCTCTATATCAGCTCAAGGCGCAATTGATTGACACTTGACCGCAGAGGACACGGCACGTACACAAACCCACTATCCACCTCCATCATTGCCACCGTCGCCGGTACGGTTCAGAAGACCAACAAACTGCTCTCCGTCCAGCCCCTACGCGCCCGCTATACGCCTGAGATCGGTGACCTGGTGGTGGGGCGCATTGTCGAGGTGCAGTCTCGCCGATGGAAGGTTGATGTCGCTGCTCCCCTTCTCGCACAGCTTCCCCTCTCCGCTATCAACTTGCCTGGTGGTATCTTGCGTCGACGAACGAGCGCCGATGAACTACAAATCCGAACCTTCTTCAGCGAGGGTGACCTCGTCGTTGCTGAAGTCCAGTCGGTACATTCGGACGGAGGCGCCTCGCTGCACACCCGGTCGCTGAAGTATGGTAAATTGAGGAACGGCGTGTTTCTTGCGGTGACGGGGACGGGTGGCAGTGGTGCGTCCAGCTCGTCGGTCAAAGGTACTTCGGGAGCGAGTGCTACGGGAGCGGGAGCCGGAGGTGCAGCGGGTGCTGGTGGAGTGGTTCGGTCGCGCAGACAGGTCTGGACGATCAATACAGCCAATGGAGGTGGGGATGTGGATGTGATTTTGGGAGTCAATGGATACATCTGGATTTCTAAGCACGCCGATGGAGCGGCTGCTGCATCGTCGACAACGGAGAATGTGTCAATCACGCGCATGGAGGAAATGGTGTCGAGTTCCATCTACTCGAGTCAGAACGATGACATCCCGCCACAGACGCGACGGGAAATTGCCCGGTTGGCGCAGTGCATTCGGGTGCTTGTCAACGGAGGAGTCCGGGTGGACGAGGAGACGGTGATGGGAGCCTACGAAGCCAGCTTACAGGTGGATCTGGAGGTGGGAGATGAAGAGGATGAGGAAGATCGGGGCAAGGAGGGCAGAGAATACCTGGAGGGCGACAAGGCTCGTCGGATTCTGGATTTGGTGCTACAACAACTATAGGGTTGTATATGGCTTTTCGAACCTTTCGATAGTAGTTCTCGTGAGAATAGATACCCCGACAAATGGACGAACATTACTGCCTCAATAATGGGTGTGTGTGTAGTAGTAGTAGAGTTTCACCGAGACTAACTGATTACCATCCTCTTCTGTCTGTCTTTTTATCTTGTGATGCCTTCAACTTTTGCCTTTTTGGGGCTGATAAGCAAAGACCCCGCATCACGTGGCGATAACAGGACTGGTTATTGGTAGATCCAAAGAGAGTTAAAGAAAAGAAGGGATTCACTTCAAGAATGCAAGTAAAGGAGATCAGAAGATAAGAAATCAAAAGTAACCAAGCAGAAGCAAGAGTAAGACAAAACAATTCAAGGGATCCGAGCGAGGGTGGCGTTGATCAGGAGGGGGCGTGACCAGTTGGCTGCCGCACAATCATTATTATTCTTATTATTCTTTCTGGTGTTATTCTTATTCTGGATTCCTTCACTCTTTCTCTCTCTCTCTCTTCTTACCTTCTTCACTTCCATCTCTTCATCCACCCATTGGGGATTTTCCATCCAACACTCTTGCTTTTTTCCAGCCTTACCATGTCCTTCGTCTCAGAATCACTCTTTCTACTGTCTACCATTACCTTTACCATACCCTCAGTATAGCCGACCGGGTTCTGCCGGCCACACTTGGTGTTGCCTTGTTCCTAGTAGTACAAGTTCATACTTGTTTCTACATTCCGGTCTCCCCTTTAGCTTATTCATAGCAAAAATTCTCGGATACTTTATCCCGCATTTTCTCCCGTGAAAATTCTTCTTGCACTTAGCAATCTTCTCTTATTGCAATCACTATCCATCATGCCGGACCTGCGTCGTCAAGTGTTGGAGAGTGGCAAAACCATCTCTCGTAAAGCTGCTTCCCGCGAAGGCTCTCGACGAACTTCGCGCGCCAACTCTGCCCAGAATTCCCGCCAGTCCTCGCAGAATCAGAGCCGATATGGATCGGACGAGGAAGATCTTGACAGTCTCAGCGATGATACGGCCATGAGGTGAGCACTCCATAATCACTGCTTTCCCTTCCCTTCATTCATAATTTTTTGGTTTCCCCCCAAAACGGAATGATGTCATCGTCATCCGTCCCCTCTTGTGTGCTCCGTTACTAATGCGTGTTTTACGACCCAGCATTGGCTCGTTGGACGATCTAACCGATAACCCCGATCTGGATAACCATGATTGGGTTGAGGAGCTTGGGGATGTCATCCAGGATATTCTGGACCGCAAGCGTAGTAGTAATCTGAGCCGCGAAGAGGCCTACGCTGCGTTTTGCCGACTGGCTAAGTATCACTATGTCGAGGAACAAATTCGCGGTCGCGTTCTCGACTTGGTAGCGGCATTCAACCGCAGTATCAAGTTCGAGACCAGTGTGCGCGAAACAACCCTGGCGCTTCGTGCCGTTGAGCTCCTCGCCATTTCAGCCTACGACAATACGATCTACGAGCATGTCGAGCCCTTGCTGACTCGCACCGTGCGGGATTCAACCTCCAATACGGTCAAGGCAGCGGCAATTCACTGTCTGGGCGTTTGCACCATTCATGCAGGCGCTAGCGAAGATGGGATCCTCGACCAGATGACGTTCTTCTTGGACATCGCTGCCTCCGACGGGCAGTCGATCGGTGCTGGGGACGACGCAGCCAGCGTCGTTGCTGCTTTGCAAGAATGGGGCGTGCTCGCGACCTATATCGACGATCTCGAAGGCGAAAGCGAGGACGCCGTCCAGATCTTCATGGACCAGCTGAACAGTGGTGATTCGGCGGTCCAAATTGCTGCCGGTGAGAACATCGCGCTCTTGTACGAGAAGAGTTACACCCCACAGGAGGACGATGATGACGAGGAGGACGAGGATGAAGAATCGGAAGAGGAAACTTTCCTGTCCGGAGGTCGCGGCAACGGCCCCAAGTTGATCAAGCGCTACAACGCCTACCACAACACACACGAGCTTGAACAGCAACTCCAGTCGCTGGCCAAAGTCCACAGCAAACGGATCAGCAAACGCGATAAAAAGAGTCTGCACAGCAACTTCGCCTCCATCCTAACGACGGTGGAGAATCCTCGTCGGGGACCCATGTACAACACCGCTATTGACCAAGACACTAACCGCCACTACGGCAGCAAGCTGACGGTCAAGATCGGCCGGCAGGGCGTGATGAACATCGACCGCTGGTGGAAATGGACGCGGCTGAGCTCGCTTCGACGCACCCTGCAGGGCGGCTTCGCGGCACACTACTACCAAGGCAACCGCGCCGTGCTGGAAAGCCTTCCGGTGATCATGCGCATGGACACGCCGTCGGACCGAGGGTATGCCAAGCGCACGACCAAACATCGGGATAGTCGTCGATGGGCGGTCCACGAGGCCTCGGACGAGGACTAGAGGAACATGTGACACATTCATCACTTGTTTTACTGGGTTTTTTCTCTTAAGTTTGATTCCCTGTTGCGTTAGATTTATTGCAGCGGGTGTTTTGTGAAGTCTTCCCTGTTTTTCATGCATTTGACTTTGTACCCCGTTTCTAGAACACAGAACAGACGAGAATATTACTCGCCGCAGATATCTCGCAGTGTGATAGAAACGAATAAAAGCTTACATATATCCATCCATACATACTTGACATATAACTATGTATAGGAAATCATTTTCAGTTATTGCTATATGAAATTTTCAGTTAAACTAGTGTATATAATGCTGACTACGTTACTATTCAGTATTCAACACATAAATTAATCTTGGCACATGACGGTATCAATAGTAAGACCCAATCCGGCACTGCTTTATATATGTCAATAGTAAGTAGTTGAATAAGAACAAGAATATATCCCATCTCATTACACGCACATTAAATGAGGCAGCAAATGAATAAATAGTTAATAAATCGCTAGATAAGCGTACACCGAGAGTGTTATAAGTTGAGTAGAATTCCACTACTTTTCCCCCCATATATCCTCTATAGTATACCACTCACCACCGCACTCCCGCGATACTTCACTAATAGTATTTCCATCACATCACATGTAAAATAGAATTAGACCTTACGGCCCACATGCACCCGTAAGATAAAAGCGCTAACACAATTACTTCGTAAAAACTGGCACCACGCCCGTCCAGGCGCCCTTACTCCGTTCCTCCCAGTATCCTTCCTTCCCAGACTTCAGTCGCCACACGGTTTCATCTCCCGGTGCCTCATCTACGGGAGTGAACCACCGCGGTGTCCAAGATTCGCCTGCGGCTTCCATCTCGCGACGACGAGCGCGCTGACCCTCTTCCAATTGGACCTTGACTGCCTCGGCTTGGTCGACGTCGCCGTCTTCGAGGGCACGCTGGTCCGGACGAAGTCGGGAGTCTGTGACGGGGAGTTTGCCGTCCTCGATGGGAGTGACCTCATTCAAGGTCGCCGCGAAGGCCGTGAGACCGTAGTGTTTGGGCGCGTTGGGGACCAGAGGTCCGGCGCTCCAGATGGTTCCCGAGGGGTTGCCGTTCTTGGTGAGGTCGAGGGAGGAGGTCCAGGTGCCGGTGAGACCCAGAGGTAGGTCGCGGCCGGAGGGGTCCGTGGATTTGGTGCTGACTTCTTCGCTGCGGCCGGAGAACATGCCGCCGGCTTTGAACGTGGAGAGGGAGCGGTGGCCAGTAGTTTCGTTGACGACGACCATTTCGCCGACAGGTTCGACGTATTTCTCGCCGGCGATGATGTTGCGGAGGAACGAAGTGGCCTGGGCCCAGCTGAAGTGTTCGCCAGTGGTGTGGAGGGTCAGGCGCATCTTGCCTTCGGTGATAATTTCGGCGGATTTACCCCAGAATTTCTGCGTCGGCATGGGGGATTGCGTAAGGCTCCAGTCTTTGCTGTCGGCTTGGTAGGCAAGCTGGACAGGGCGATGCGAAACCTTTTCGGCGATGAAGCGGAAGCCAAGGTCTTCACGGACGAGCTCGTAGGTCTCACCGAGCATGGGGTTGAAGGGTTTGCGAATGGCGCGCTCGCGGATCCGGTTGCTAGAGATGGGAGAGAGGGCAAATGCGGTCACGTACATGAGGCGTTCAACGGGGTCGGAGGCGCTGGCTGCGCGGTCAAGCAGGGTGGAATACTCCATAACTTCGGCAGCGCGCTGGAGCAGCGACAGGGGCTCGTTGGAGGAAACAGGCATAGAAATCTGCGACAAGTCCTTGCCGACATTCTTGCGGAGGAAACCAATCAGACTGGGCGGCATGACTGTCGGCGCCGTGATGTTGGCACGACGCTTCACAGGGCTGAGTGGGAGCGGCGTGAGCGCTTTAGGGCGCCCGGGGAAGAGCGGCGAGTACTGATCGTGTCCAGCAGGCGCCTCGTCGGCCTCGTCCTCACTGTCAGAGGGAGCGTCGTTGACCATGGGTTCTTCTTCCACCTTGGGTTTCGAATCCCATACAGTGTGGTCGGAAGCATTGTCGGCCGCTGCCTCGTCGTCGCTGTCGCCCTTGATTGTGAGAAGCGCTTTACCGTCATCTGCATCGAAGAACTCCTGGGAGACGTCAGACTCGAAGCTGCGCCGCGCCTGCACGGTCGCGCCGGGAGGGTGTCGTCGCTGCTTGCTTTCGGAGATGAGGGTCGAGAACTCGCTGACGACCTGGTCCAGATCACGCAACACGGCCATGAGATGTTCATGAACTTCCTCCATGGGATCCGGGGGGCTGGCGATACTGCTGGGCTTGCGATCGCCCGCCAGGGACGCCGTGTCAAAGGCGCCCGGCACAGCCAGCTGCGAGGACATAGAGGCCATGGTCGTGGTGCGCTTGACACCGGGCTGAGTGGCCGTACTATTCTTGCGCTTCCAGAACGGGCGTTTGGCGTCCCCAGTCTCGTCTCCGTTCAGGTCCGTTGGCGTGCGATGCGGGCTGGGCGAGCGACCGCGGGGTCTCTCCGCGACATTGCCGCCCAGGTACTTGGGGTCAGTGTCCTTGGCCAGGCGCCGGACAGCATCGCGCGATCCGGATACCTTGCTCACAAGGCCCTCGACCTGCTCCCATTCCCTCTCCTCGACAGGATTCGGGGCGACACGCTGAGAGGGCACACGTAACAAGGGTTCGGACGGCAAGGCGGTTTCGTCGGTCGCGGTAGCAGGGGTCTTGGAGGACGGGGCGGAGGCCCGCTCCAGCGCCCGCTTCCAAGCGGCGAACTCCTGGTCATTGTTGGCGCGTAGGTGCCAGACTTCGGTGCCGGAGTCGATGGAAATCTCGCGCGACTTCTCGTTGCATGCGACCGCAGCCAACGACAAGGGGATGGAACCGCGGAGCGCGGCAGAATTCCGATCGTGGTAGTAAGACAAGGTCGACGAGGTATAGTCGAGGGAGAAGAAGCGACGCGCCCAGCCCTGATGGCGCTTCCGCCGTCGCTTCTGAAGCAGGCCCGTATAGGTATTGAGCGAGTCGGGGTCGCTGGCGAGGGGCGGCGGCTGAGCGACGCTGTTGCCCCGTCGGCGGGCAGCCAGGGACTTTCCGGATTCAGCGGTATCGGACCGTATGGGGTGGCTGGAGGCATGAGGGACGGGAACTGACTGTGGTGGGAGGGCGGTTGGGTAGGTGAGCAGGGCGAGAGTGACGGTTTTCGAGAGTTGCTTGGAGAAGGTATTGTCAAAGACCAGGGCGTAGTTTCCACCTTCGTTGGCGGGCACGTCGTAGGTACCGCGGAAGATGCGTTCGGCCTCGCATTTGCCGATCCATTGGATCTGCTTAAGGCCAATGCCTGTCAGCTTGTCAATGACGGAGGCATTGGGTCGCGAGGCCGCAGCGCCAGCGGTCGCGGGCAGGTTTTCATTAGAATCGGCGTTGGGGGAATCGGTGGCAGGTAAGTTGGTGTTGGAGCCCAGAACGGCCGAATGGCCGGGATGCTTGAAGATGCCGAAATTGATGGACTTCTTGTGCGGTTGGATGCTCCAGGAGATGGTGTGGGCGGGCTTGACCGATACCCAGCGGACAAAGTAGGACTGTAGAGAGGGGTAACAACAGAGACAGGAGTTAGTCCAATGCCATCATTCAATTCAATTCAGCGTGTCATGCATCCATCCCCTCCGCCCCCTTACTTCAGTGTCAACATACCTTGCTGTGGATCTCCAGCTCCTCCATGGCCGCCATCGTTGCGCGAGTGGCCCTTGTTCGTGTGGGGGGTAATGGGAAACACGACAATGAGGGGGAGCAATTGAGAAGATGAGGAACAAAACCAAGTGGAAGATGGATCTTTTTAAAAGTCGGAGGACTGGCGAAGGAGCTGAAACAAAAAGGAGGGAATGATGGATCAGGCTGAGGCTCAGCTGTACGTCAGCCACGAGGCAGGGCAAGAAGCAAAGCAGAAGTGGCAGCAGAAGCAGCAGATCTTACCAGTCATGCAGCAGCCCGCCTCACGTTGGATTGCGGGAACGATCGGATAAGGAGACACGGGCCAGAAGTGACTGTGGGATGAAGGGTCAAAGAGTGACGACAGATGCGGGTATTTTAAGGAAAAAGGAGGGGCGGTGGAGGAGGAGGGGAAGACGGTAAGAAGTAGTAGTTGTTGTTGTTGTTGAAGTAATTGAAGTAAAGGAAGTAGTAAGGACAAGGAGAAGGGGAAGAAGGAGGAGGAGGTGCGGAGAAGCCGGACCCTAAACAACTTTCCACTCTTCTCCTCTCTCTCCCAGACCGGCCGAGGGACAACTTAAACCAAACAATTGGCCTTTGAAGGGGATGAGCAGCTTGTGTCCGCTTCACATGAAAGGCCAGAGAACTGAGCTCAATAGTAAGTCTCTAGTCCATCTCCGGCTACTGATGATCTGGTTCCTGGTGGATCCATCCAGTTTCCCTTTTACCTTTTTATTCTCTCGTTTTCTGGAATTCCTCGGAGTTTCACGGAAAATTAATGCGTCAGGGGCAATCAATACTGGAAGATATATCTACTACTAAGAATACTAAACTTATAGTTCAGACAGTAATAGTTCATCCCAATGCAATGCAATCAATTCATGTTTAATTCTCTTTTAGTCCCCAGGAATTAATCGTTTCGAACCCGCAACCATGAGATGCTACGCGGATGCTAAATCAACACTCTGTCTTATGAGAGAACAAGAGAGAGAGAGAGAGAGAGAGAGAGAGAGAGAGAGAGAGAGAGGTAGAGGAAGAATAGAAGTCAAGAAAATACACAGGAGAAAAAAAACCAAGAATCCCGACCTCATCCAGCAATCAACGATAAAAAGAAATAGAACGTCCCGAGGAATATTACACACAGTATACAGAAGGAAAGAAAAAGAAAAGGAAAAGAAACCATCACCTTCACCTTCACCGCCGCTTGCCGGCCTGCATGTTGGTGAACAACAATTTGAAGCCATTGCACAGAGCCCGCATGTCCGGGTATGGGTTGCGCTGCAGCTCATATCCTTGAGGGATCACCTTCACTGGCCAGCTGTGCAGCGGCGCCTTCTCACCCGCCTTGAAGCACAGGAAGAAGTAGCCCGCATGTTTGGGATCGATGCAGAAAGCGTAGGCCGACCGCCGGGGGTTGGCCTTGGTGTATGTTTCCAACCAGGAGTCTAGAGAAAAAGAGGAAAGACGTTAGTGATCATCACCAAACATAAACGAGCCCTAAACAAGACTAAGAAAGAAAATGACTTACAGGTGGCGTCCTTGTTGCCGTCCTGGTACTTCTCATGCAACATCATCTCATCTACCTTCTTGGTCATCGCCTTGACGTGGTTGAAAATCAAATCGTCCAGATCACTGTATGTGTAGCGTCCGCCCACCTTCAGCGTCCGTCCCACGGAGAATTCGTTCTCCTTGTCCAGCTCCAGCACGTCAATATGCTGGAAGATGCCGTCGGACACCTTCCATGTCACCGCCAGATGGTCCGGTCCCTTGGACGACGGCCGGATCACCACATCTCCCCGGCTCTGCGACCCCAAGAACTCCTCCGCCTGCGTCGAGTTGAACGGCCGGAACATCGGATGCTTGATCACTCGCATCGTCCGTCCGCCGCTCTGCGTCTTCTCCTGCTGCGCTTCTCGGTCCTGCGCCTCCTGACGGTCATCCCACTCCCCTTGCAATCGGTCCGGCGTCCGCAGCACCGGCCGGCTGACTTGCTCCTCCCGCAGCGAGACATTGCACAGGAAATTCTTGCGGTTCAGGAAGAGCACCTTGGCCGGTAGCGTCTGGTGGATCTGGTACAGCGCTCGCACGGGGATATCATACCGGTCGGTCAGCTCCGACTCGGGCACCAGTGCGTCAATTCCGCAGTCCAGCTTGCCGTCAATGTGATCGTCTGTAATCCGCTTGATGGAGATGGGCACCACCATGCCCTCCGACAACGTGTCTGCCGTCTCACCAGTGAGCATGGTGAAGATGTCATCCGTGCTGAGGAAGACGAATTGCTTCCGGAGTTCCTCATACGGCTGTTGCAGCTCCGCCCGGATCGTCTCCAGTGTCGCTCGCTTGCGCTGGTTCAGGTTCTTCTCCAATTGCTCGGCATACTCCTCCAGAATCAGGTCGTTTACACGATCCTGTGCCTCCTCGCGGAACAGTTTGCGTACAATCGCACCTGGTCCATTCTCGTCCGTCTCCGCCTTGATATCCTCTTCATCCAGTTCCAGCGCATCAGCCGCCATCTTGCGCGCAATATCGTAGTCTTCCGGGTGTACACGAGTGTTGTCCAGCGGATCCGCATCCGGATCAGCGTTTTCAAAGTCGATGTACAAGAAGCTGGCGCAGTTGTTCCACACCTTCACACCCATGGCCGGATACTGGGCATTCACACCCAGCAGCTCCGCCCGGTTGTTGACCACGCCGCCGTTCATGTTCACAATCTTGAGCAGGTGTGCCGCCTTACGGGGTCCCAGACCACAGACGTAGGGCAGGAGGTTGGCCGTCGCCGAATCCGTGACGGCTTCGTTGATGTCCACACCCACCAGATTCACCATGTCCACCAGCGCCGTCTCCAACTGCTTCAGCAACAGATCCTGAGAGACGAGCTGCTGGCCCGGCTTGAACTGGATGGACACGATGTCCCGGCCCAGAGATGCGTACTCCTTCAGCGGGCTCTGCAGGTACTTGGCCAAGGCCACACAGTAATGCGTCAAGGGGGCGAAGCTAGGGTGGTCCTTCTTCGCACGCTCGCTGTGCTGGTAAAGTCGGGCAACCTCGTCATTGACAATCACCACCTCCAAACGGTCGCTGACTTCGTCATCGCGATCATCGGTGTAAAGAGCGCCGCGCAGGTCTTGCCGCTCCACGACCTCGGTCAGCAGCTTATACAGGCGACGGGTCTCCGGAGACATGCCGGACACACCGATGACATCGGGACGCCGACGCTTCACAAGTTCGGTGAAGGCGGCAACATCCTTGCCGTCGGCAATGTTACGGTCGCGATCGCCAATGGAGAGGTCTGTAAACTTTCCGTTTTCCAGCACACGTCCATCCTCTTCGATGTAGGCCCAGTGGATGGGCTCGCGTCCGACGATGCCGGTACCAGTGGACAGAGCCAGCACGCGCGGCACGGTACCCAAGATCATACCCTTAGGCTTGTAGGGGGCCTGATCCAGTCGCTGGGAGAACGCCTCGCGACACTCCTTCGCCACATGGTTCTCACATTCCTGACGGATATTTTCCTTGACGCTGCGATTGATCAGCCGCTCGAGCTTGCCGAGGGCCAGATCCAGCACATCACGACGCGTGCGGTTCCAGACGTCTGCCAGTTCACTGTAGTTGTCCGACTCGATGTCCTGGTAGAGGCGTTGGCGGAAGTGGTCAAAGTTCTCAAAGCGGACCTTCACTTCCACCAAACCTTCCTCTTCGGCCTTGAGCATGCGAAGATACAGCTCGGGCCGACGGGCAATGTCGCTAAGTTGCTGGTTCCGTAGGTACTTGAATTCGTAGTACGGGTGCTGCTCGTCAATGCGGCGCAGACCCTTCTCGGTGCGGAAGCAGTCCACTGCGCCATTCATGTAGTACGCTTGGCGAACGACCTTGCGCATCTTGGGGCTCATCACGATCTCCTCTGCGAACATGGTCTTCGCGGCCTTGACCACATGCGACGAGTTGGAGAAGTCGTTGTCAAGGAACGAATCCGCCAACTCATCCGGCTGCTCCGCGGGATCTTCGGTGTACTGGCGGCGGCCTTCCTTCAGGGCATTCTGGGCAAACGCATCTGCAGTGATACCGAAGGCGCGGACGAGGCCGTAGGCCTTGCCATTCCGGACGCGCTCGAAGAACGTCTTGCTGGACGCTTTCCGGCGCTGGGTTTCCCCGTTTGCTTCCCCGTTCATGAGCGTCATATCCCTCAGCTGGGATGCATACTGGAAATGGATGTAGTCCTGAATATCCTGTAGCTCCTCCATTGTCACCGCGGTTGGCAGCATCTCCTCCACGATGGTATCATTCACGCTGAAGAGGCTCTGTAAGTTGTCAAAGGTCTTCTGGATCGTAGTGCGCTTTTCCACGAGCGCCTTGAACTTGAGATCATGGTCGAAGATGTCCCAAAGATCGGTCATGTTCAGGAGCTTTTCCGCCTTGATGGTGTACTGGGAGGCGTCCCCATCATGGCCCGCTCCATCCACGGCCACCTTGGCCGCGTGAATCATGTAGTCCTTCCGGTGCTGGAAGATGAACGGCACTTCCCAATCGTCAGTGACCAGGAACTCCAGTACCTTGGCCACTGAGCGCTGGAAGGGCTCCCGTAGTTCAGGCTCGATCCGCTTCTTGAGGAGCATCAAGTTGGAGATCCAAGCTGCCTCTTCCCGGAACTGGTCTTCCGTCAGCACTACGTTCCGGTAGGGCTTGCGGGCGATTTGGTGTCGTTCGGGTTCGTCCAGCAGACGAATCTGGTTATCTTCCTCCGTCAACATCTTCTCGGCCAGCTGTGATGGCTCGAAGACATCCTTCAAGTCCAAGTGCTTTTCCTCATCCACTTCCTGCTCCTGCTCTTGTTCCTCCATTTCCAAAGCGAACAAGTACTCGTTGCCGTCTCCGAACGCAGCGCGCATATCTTCGAGGGCGTTCTCGTCCAAGCCGGTCGCATCGGTAACGCCTAGACCTCCCTTGGAGGTACGAGTAACTTCCAAGTCTTCCCGTTCTCGCTGAATTTCCTCATCGGAGAAAACATCCTCTTCAATGAAGTCGTCCATTTCATCGTGCATGTGTCTCCGGTGACCGGACCTCCCGTAGTCGGCAGCGGGCTCTTCATCTTCATCGGAGTTGAAAATATCGTCAATGCCCTGGGACGCTTGTCGGAGATCGCGATCCTTGTGACCACGCTTAAGACGTTTGAACTTGGGCTGGGATGCTTGTTAGAATCGCCCCTGTGCAAAGGTAGAGAATCAGTGGGGGCAATGAATGAGGTGAACATACTTCTCCAGCAGAAGCTGACTGGAAGCTCGGGTTGAGTTCCCCAATGAGCTCCAGATCTTCCTCGTCCAGATGTTCATCTTCGCGTTCGCGATCCCTTTGCTTTCGTTTCTCCCGTCGGCGCTCGGCGCGCTCCTCTATTTCCTCGTCCTCGTCGACAATGAAACCTTCGCGGACCTGGAAAGTGGGTCAGTATGGGGTACATTGAATAAAGTAAAATTGGCGCATGATTGAACACAGAGGAGGACGTACGGCGCGAGCGGCTTCCTCATCGTCGTCATCATCCTCATCCTCTTCACTGGAGTCGTAGTTGTTGTTGGTGCCAGCACCCTCGCGGACTTCGCCATCATAGTCATCGGCAAGCTCCTCCTCATTCTCATCGTCATCAATCATGGCCTCCCCCTCGACCAGATCGCGAGCGCTCATCTTCGGTTTGTAATGTGTTGGTGGACTAAAAGGTCGGGGAATAAGAAAAAGGGTGGATGGATGCAATCTGCGGAGACCGATTTGGGGGAGAGGAGTCGTTGAAGGAAACGAGTCACGACAGGAAGAACCGCCACAAGAGACGGTCACTCACAGAAGGTGGCCAAGCAGGAGGTTGAAAAGAAATGAGGAAAGGATGAGAGAGAATCTGGGCGGCTTTGGATGGACGAGACGAGATCCGATGGCTTGCAGCAAAGAGACGCTGTGGCGCGGGCACTTGCTTCACCGCCCGCTGGAGCTGTGGCTGGAGAAAAGAGCTCTCACGTGGAGACGCTAGCCTGTTAAGGACTAGTTCTTAGGGGAAAGGGATAACACCACTGGCGCAGTTTGATAGGGGTCATGTGATGTGTTATACCCCTCGCTGAAACAACTTCTTTTTTTCTATCCTACAAACATATGAATACGGAATGACAGTCATAGATTTGAGATGGTGACTGGGGTGGACTGATCCCTGTCTCTTCCCATGTGTTGTGTTAAGGGTGAATAACTGGATGGAGGACAATAAGTTAGGTCTATCTACCCTATGACTTGCCAGACAAAGAGTGAAATGATAGACGGCGCCAACTCCCATCGCTTGTTTCAGCGCTCGTCACTAGACAGACCCGGTCGCTCTCTCTTTGTTTCGGATTTTTCCCTGAATAGAAGAACTTTTTTTTTTTTAAAAAAAAATCATCGTGCTGGTTTCCAAAAGTTGTAGACCTCGTGGCAAGAGGAAAAAAAGAGGATAATCAATAGTTGATACAAGCGTGTGCCTGGTTCCACTACTTTGATCTCCGCCCCAACTTTCTCCTCCTCACGGCGTCCCTCCAAAGCACGCCAAACCCAACTCCGACCCTCTCCCTCCAACACCATCCTTTCCCACTGGATCAAGTCGCCGGTTTGAGGAGCACTCACTCACTTTCTTACCCTCATCTCCTGTCGAACCCTCCAACAAATTTCAGCGCCCATAAACGCCACCAAACCGGGGTGATCAAGTCCAACCACCAAAGAACACCCCCCCACCTGCGCTCTCTCCCGAACCTCACGGCGCTTGTCCGGTGTCTCAGTGTCCAATAACTCCCCCGCCGCTGCTGGCCCAACGGTCGGACACTCGTCGACTTTTTTTATCCTGTTTCCCTGACTAGCAAACTCCTTCTCCAGGAATCTTGGCCATAAATTCGATCGTGAGACGGTACTTTTTGCCTGGAACTACTTCGTCTCCTATACCGTCGCTGTATTCCTCCTTCTCCCCCCTCCACCGTCTCTCCCTCTATCTCAAGTCACGGTGCGCACTATCGCTCCTGTGACACAATCATGGCCGACCAATTCAAGGCGCGAACACTCAAGCGCAAGAACGTCAAAGGCCTTGCCCTGAACGCAGCCCCGAAGCCCGCCGCCAATAACTCCGATGGCGATGCTCAGGTTCCAGGCGCCATTGGAAATGCCGACAGCAACCGCACCGATACGCTGGAGATCGGTCTCGAGTTCCGTCTCGACCTGCGTAGCGAGGACTTGGTTACTCTGAAGGAGCTGGGCGCTGGAAATGGTGGTACGGTCTCAAAGGTCATGCACGCCTCCACGAAGGTGGTCATGGCTCGAAAGGTGCGTGCCTTCTGGGGACCCTCGTCGTCCGTGCTTTTGCCGTAGACCCGGTATATAGGCTGACTCCATCATCCTAGATCATCCGTGTCGACGCAAAGGAAAATGTGAGAAAACAGATCTTGCGGGAGCTCCAGGTTGGGCATGACTGCAATTCCCCCCACATTGTCACCTTCTATGGTGCCTTCCAGAATGAAGCCAGAGATATTGTCTTGTGTATGGAGTACATGGATTGCGGGTAAGGGAGCCGCTGCCTATCTTCTTTATCTGTTGGTTCCAAGCTAACCTGGACCCTTGCATGATAGCTCGCTCGATCGCATATCCAAGGACTTTGGTCCCGTGCGGGTAGACGTGTTGGGCAAGATCACCGAGTCTGTCCTGGCCGGTCTGGTGTATCTATACGAAGCTCATCGTATCATGCATCGCGATATAAAGCCTTCCAACATTCTCGTCAACTCGCGCGGCAACATCAAGCTCTGCGACTTTGGCGTTGCAACCGAGACTGTCAACTCGATCGCCGATACGTTCGTTGGCACCTCTACCTACATGGCCCCCGAGCGTATCCAGGGTGGTGCGTATACTGTGCGCTCGGATGTGTGGAGTGTTGGATTGACGGTGATGGAATTGGCGGTTGGTCGCTTCCCCTTTGACACGTCGGACTCGTCGGCAGGCGACCGTGCCAGCGCCGGTCCGATGGGCATTCTGGATCTGCTGCAGCAGATCGTGCACGAGCCCGCTCCGAAGTTGCCCAAGAGCGACGCCTTCCCTCCCATTCTGCATGAGTTTGTCGCCAAATGTCTCCTCAAGAAATCCGAGGAGCGCCCCACGCCTCGCGAGCTTTATGTATGTCCCACCCCTTGCCCGCTTTTGGACTACTGTCTTGATCCGGATTTGACTGACAGCCGATTTAGGACAAAGATGCGTTCCTGCAGGCCGCCAAGCGGACGCCGGTTGATCTTCAAGAATGGGCCATCAGCATGATGGAGCGACACAACCGCAAGTCGTATCTGGCTCCTCCGCCGCCCAAGTCACTCAAGGATGAGCCCCCGGCTGCGCGATCTACTCCGTCCCCGAAGCCTCAACCCCAGCCCCAACCCAGCAGCAAGCCGATGCGCACTCCCCAGTACGCCCCCAGCGACATTCCCTCCAGCGTGGGCCGCAACAGCCCCTCGCAGTATCAGTACAACTATGCCCCCGCAAACCCATCTCCGCGTCCACCCCGGTCGACACGCTCGCCTCCCATCTCTCTCGAGCATCTGTCGTTGGAAGATGAGTACCGCTCCGGCCGTCGACCCTCGCGGACTCCCGTCGGGGGCCCCTCTTCCGGACTGGAACCCCCCATGCATCCGGTGGGATCTCGCTCCGCCAGCTCACACAACACGAAGTCGCGAATGCCCCTACAGTCAGCAGTACTGCCCATGCGAAGCACGCCTCCCCCGAACGGACCTCCGCCCCCTGCTCCTGGAAATGGATCCTGGCAACGCCAGCCAAACTCCATGCGCGGGGACCATATGACGGGCGCTGTCTAGACTGCCGGCCCTGTTATCCACCATCTCAACTCTCTCCTCACCCCCCTTCACTTCTCTCACCTATTCTCCTATTCCCCCTCTCCTCTTCTCCGTTTATTAGAATCTGTGGACGTGACGAACTGACAAACAAATGACACATACCCACAAACACACCGCTACTTGCTTGAAGCATGAACCCTTGAACCATGTATCCCATTCAACCTTACATGATGTATGTCCATGACAAACACACACACAACATTTTTGCATCGGCAAGGCGTATTCATTCATTGGCCTTTCTTTTCTTCTTCTTCTTCATCTTCTCTTTTCTTTCTTCTTGATCTCATTTGTCATATTCCTTTTTTTTTTTTGTCAGATATACATACATCCATAGCTTCTATTTTCTTTCATGTCCTTTTTTCTTTTTCCTTTTTACTTCATATTCCATTTTGCATATTCTAGGTCATCTTACCCATCTAGCTGACTGTAAGTATCTTTTGTGTTTTGTCACTCATCTCCGTTGGTCCACTGGTTATGTTTCATTGCTCGATGGCATGGAAGAAAAAAAATGAGATGGGGATGAATATAACAAAGTAAAGTTAGCACGATGCTTTGCCATGATAAATTACGTTACTGTAATTTGTAGCGAGGGAGATGGTCAGTGGTAAAGACTGTTATCTCTGTTTGGTGTTACGTAGGTTAAAGTATAGACTAAAGTCATGTCTATGGTTGACTGCTGTTACCAGAATACCTGTCAAATGTTCTGCTTCGTTTTCGTTGCTAGACAGTGAAATAGTATGGGGTGAATGATCATAGAAACACTGCCTATCCGTGGGAGAATCAACAGATAAAGATAGAGCAAACGCAGATCACACAGATACAATCGAGAAGCATAAACACCGCACCGAATCATGCAGGTAGGAAAAGAGGAGATCCCATCACACCATATGAGAGACGTAGAGAATAGCGCCGGGTGGCAAATAAGAAGACAACGAATATAGACGGCCAGAAACCGCACATCCGACAACAAACACAACCCAACATCAAACTGGATGGACCCTTCTACTCATGCCCGTTCATCATTCCCCCTGTAACCCGGAAATCCGACGACGCCAACAAAAAGAAAATAATGTAAAGACCAAAAGCACGCACACACTGAGCAGTCCGTCAAACAGGAAACAGGCATGCCTGATTCCCAGCACAGGACACTCATGGCGAGACTGAGGAGAGAAAAGAAGATGATATGAGGGATCGCCCTACTTCATTGCAAGCTCCGATCCACCCACTGGACTGGGGCCCGGAGGAGCAGGGGCAATATTTGGACGCGGCGCCAACTCGACCATGGGGTGCTTGCCTCCTCGAGTGCTGGTTGAACCGCCACGACCAGTAGCACCTCCGCCGCGTCCGTGGGGGGTCCCTGAGGCGGCATTGGCTCTTTCCTGCTCTGCCTGCTGACGAGCAGCTTTGCTGATGCGCGGGCGACGAGTGGTACTGCCGCCTCGTGAGCCTGGGCCCCGAAGAGGAAGACCGGTTTCCTGGGAGATCGGGACCGCAGCAGCCAAAGGCACCTGGTGGGATGTTACAGGCCCCCGGCCCCGACCACCACGTCCACGGCCGCGACCACGCTTGATCGTACCGTCGGCCCTATTCGTAAGCCATTAGCATCTCAGCCAGCACAAAAACAAGGGATTCAATCTCCGCAAAAGGTATGGCGCTTACCGTTCCACTTGGACCTTTTCGCCCTCCGGCACCAGCGGCCCACTGTAAACAAAGAACCCATCCTTACTGGCGGCCGCCTGTTCCTGCCAGGCCAACTCACTATCATCTACGAATGGGTCGTCTCGATCATACTCCTCCATTTTCTTCTTACGGCGCTTCTTCTTCCCATCTGCCGGTTCGGCCCCATTCGAGCGGGCGGGCGCTGATGTTGCACCTTCCCCATCCATCTCGCTGTCCCGGTCGACCTCCATGCTCAAATCCTCATCCGCACTCTCTCCCGCGGACAGACCACGTCCACTCGCCTTGTCGTTGCGCTCCAAGGCCGCACCGGCCGCAGCTACTCGTGCCAGTCGTTCCTTGTGCGCAGCGAGGCGAGGATGTAGGGCCGCGAACCCATATTGCTCCTCCGCTAAACGTGCAAAGTTGATGATCTGATTCCCATGGCCTTGGATAGGAACGTGCAGGATGATACTCGGTACCTGGCGGTTACTCGAGTCGCCTGTGGACGAGCCACCATCCACTCCGAAAAGGGCATTGGAGATCAGTCCCGAGCCTTGAGGTAGCGTAGGTGTTTCCTTGGCTGCCTTGGCCGGTTTTGGTGAGGGCGCCTTCGAAGCAGGTACTGTTGAGGGGGTTTTGGCTTCCTTCTTGGGCACCTTAGAGCCTGTCGAAGAAGCAGGTGCCTCGGGTTCCACATCCATAGGCGTAGGACCTGGCGAGGGCGGTCGGTTATTAGACGGTGCTGGAGTATGAGGTTCCGAGGCCGATGGGGGAGGGACAGACGGGGGCTTTGGTTCTGGTGCCGACATCCGTGATTCCTGGGGTGGCGGCGGTGCTTGCACGGGTGTAGCATAGGGAGATCGATGGGCATACGGTGAGACTGGTCGTGGAGGTTGAGATTGAGGCTGCGGATGCGGTTGAGGTTGTGGCGGAGTGGGTGCGATAGATGCGCCCGCGGGCGATGGAGAGTAGCTCGACGCACCGTGAATTGGAGAGCCATACGGTCGAGGGGCATAGACGGGCGGCGACGAGGCAGCAGGCGGATCAATGATACTGGCAATGGCCGGAGAGGCGCTGGCGCGATATGTCGGACGAGGTGAGATAGGGCGGGCCGGGGGACTAAAGGAGGGGCGCCCCGGAGGCGGCGCCGCAGCAGCCAACGCCGGAGTCGGTGCTGGAGCCGGGGCCGGAGATGATGTATCAAAGGCCGACCGAATGGGATCGAAATTTTGACCGCTCGTTCTTTGCGGCGGAGGAGCGGGCGGCTGGGAGTGTGGCCGCGGAGGAGGAGCGGAGGGCATCAGGCCCGGATAAGGTGAGACGAGGGTTGTAGGGGCCACGGATGGCGGTGTTGGATGGGCCGACGGTGGCAAAGACGACGGGTTCAGGAGACGCGATGTCCCATGAGACATCGCTTCAGAATCTAGGGTTTGTTTCCGCGGGCTCGTTATGGGAGTGCTTGGAGCAGGCGTCGAGGCTGGGGCTAGAGCTGGAGCTGGAGCTGGAGCCGAAGCCGGGGCTGGGGCCGGAGCTGCAGACGCAGCTGAGACTGCAGTGGTAGGAGGACTGGTCGCAGGCCCTTCTGGAACGGCAGCAGGCGCGGGATTCGGTGAATGAGCAGGAGGCGCCGCAACACTGGGGCTTTGATCGGGAGTGGCAGCCTCCAACTTGGGCCTCTTGCGAGAATGAGACGCGGCCGAATTGGGCGGGTTAGTAGATGTCGACGACGACTTCTCTCGTTGGCGACGGCTGCCCCGTTTGGGCTCCAGCTTCTCCTCCTTCTCCTTCTCTTTTTCCTTTTCCTTTAATTCTTTCTCCTTCTCCTTTTCTTTTTCTCTAGTTTTGGGAGTTCGGACGGGTTGGTTTCGTTCGAGGTCGGGATCGTCTTCCTTCCTGCGACGCGACCGTCGGGTACGAGTTTCGCGGGCGGGATATTCAATGGAGCGCGACTCGTGTTCACCTGCAGCCGACAAAACAGATGGCTCTGTGGACATGGTGAAAAAGAGAAGGGAGGGGGAGGGAGCGAAAGGACGAATCAAAGCTGGTGGTCAAGCATCGAGTGAAAGGGCGAGGTTGGTTAGAGGGAGGAGTGGACTGATGGACTGACGTCCTTTGGGTGGTGAGGGTGAGGGTGGTGGTTGGCGGTTGGTGGTGAGGGAGATCTAACCCTTGTACTCAGAACAATAAAATTAGATAACAAGGGAATTGAACGACGAATGAATGGAGATGAAGAAGGGTTGAAAGAAGGTGGTGGAGATGGAGAGTGGATGGTGGAGGAGTGGAAAAGTGGATGGCGATGAATGGATGGGGGGAAGAGGAAAGGGAAGAAGGAAGAAAGAGGGAAGGGAGAGAGAAAAGCGAGAGAGTGAGAGAGCGAGAGGAACAGAGAGAGAAGGGGAAGGCCGAGAGGGAGGCAGACCAGATGGGAAACACCGGATCAGCAACTGCAACAAAAGAACAAAACTGCAATCTACATGGATGGGGAAAAGGGGCGTTGTTGTGAGAGACAGAAGCAAGTATACCTTGCTAGATGTACATACATACAGACATACAGAAGAGTGCTTTCGATGATGAGAAGAGAAGAAAACCCGAGATGGGCGAAAGCAGCAGCCGGGGAAAGCGTGTTTGTATGGCCGGGGTTCCATTCCGGCGGGTGCGCTTCTCGTTCCTTTCTTGGGCCGTTTCAATGGTTCGTTATCGCCTTTAGTTCCCTTCAAGTTGCCTGCTTGCTTGGCCCCTCAATGCACCCCCACCACCATGTAAACGGGGGTCCAGCCTATTGTCCATTGTTCGTAAATTGACCTGGAATCAATCATCTTCTAGGTTAATTGACTGACAAGGTTCTGTGCCCACAAGATTGGGAACAACAATCAAGGCAGCGTAAAGTCCCAGTTTCGATATCAGATCGGGTCACCTGATTCAACGTGCTTTACCCAATCGGGGTGGTCAATCAGGTGAATCCACTAATCCTATCTGAGGCTAGCGTTCCTCATTTTAGCTTTTGAGCCGCAGCTGAGTCATCCTGCAATGTCCCTGTGCGGGCTGACTGACTCATTGCTGACTCAGACAAGCTTCCCGGGGATGGCTTCATTTCCGACGCTTTCGGCAGCTTTTCTTCCCCGCCAAACCCCTCACCAACTCTTCGACGCCATGGCCTTTCGCGGTGAACGTTTTGTCCTCGATCTGGGCTCCGACGATGAGTCCTCTCCAGCGGACACCTACGATGACTCTCAGGGTGCCCCGACCCTCAACATCCCCGGGATGATCGGCGAAATCCGTGAACGCTCCCCCGCCGCGGCCCCCGCCCCGCCTACTCCAAAACCAACCACCACCGGCTTTCCAGCTCATCGCCGTCGGGCCAAACCCTCTACTTTTAAACAGCGACGAGACCCAGCTCCGTCTGCATCTGCATCCGCCTCTGCTTCTGCTCCGAGTCCAAAGGATGAGAAAACGGCCATTGCGCAGGAGAATGCGCGGCAGCTGGCATCCATGTCGGATGCGCAGATTGAACATGAGCGCCAGGAGCTGATGGAATCTATGGACACCTCTCTACTCGAGCGCTTCCTCCGCCGAGCTCGTATCGACGCCGATGACACTCCCACCACCTCCAAACCCACCCGCGAACAACCTGTCGCTCCTGAACCAGTCCAAGACAAGAAGAAAGAAAAGGAAGACGAAGTTGCTGCACCTGCTCCGCTTTCACCACCACCAGCAACAACAAAGACAGCAGCAACTACCTCAACCACAACCGCCAAACCACCCTCCCCCAACAACGGCTCTTCCCAAGATGACGTCCCACCCACCCAAATCCCCTCCGACCTCCACGCCGCCGCCGAACTCCCCCCCTCAGGCAGCGTCCACTTCCCCGCGCCTCCATCCCAAGTCTCCCCAATGCCCAACCTAGATCCATCTTCTCCCTCCTTCCTCTCCGACCTCCAAACCCACTACTTCCCCAACATCTCGCACGACCCCTCCGCCCTCTCCTGGCTGCAACCCCCCTCCGCAGACCCCGAAGACCCAGACTCCACGTCCGCCTACCACCCCGCCAGCAACGCCGAAGCCGTCCACCCAGCCAACCTACGCTTCTCCCTCCTCGGCACGGTGCTTTCCCCATCAACATCTCTCTCCCTGCCCACGACCCTGGGCCTGCACCATCATGGTAAAGACCCCCACGCAGCAGGGTACACCATTCCCGAGCTGGCTATCCTCAGTCAGTCGACGTTCCCGGCGCAGCGGTGCATCGCGTGGCAGGTTCTCGGGCGGATTCTGTTCCGGTTGGGCAAGGGCCAATTCGGAGAAAGAGGGAGTCCGCTGGTCGAGGGGCTGTGGTCTGTTGTGGAGAAGGAGGGTGTTGTGGCGGGTATGTTGGCTGAGGCGGATGGAGCGACACCTGGGACGGGTCCTGCTCGGCGTGGTGGGCAGGAGCAAGAAAGTGAGGAAGAAAAGGTGAAGGAGAATGCCACTGCTGGTGCCGGGGGTACTGGTCGTCGACAACATGCTAGTGCTACTGCGTGGGCCGTTGAGGGTGTCTGGCTTTGGCAGATGGGAGGCGGAGGTGATCGGGGCGTGTTGAAGGAGGGTGCCATTCGGTCTCAGTGATTGTCAACCTTAACTTGATTTATTTAGCGATTTCATGACTAAAAGTTCAAAGTATTACCATCAATTATAAAACATGTATCATTGCAGGTCTAAGTAATGCACATATCCTCATAATAATTATCATGACTAGACTATATCCGGTACAGTAATGGTATCACCACCTCTCCAGAATCACACAAACAGTCTCTCTCGCCCTCCCCACAAACCATTACATATCCATACATGCAAAGCAGAAAAAAAAAAAAAGAGATAACTCGAACACCAGTCTCTCAGAGATCCTAACAAAACTCCACCCCGCCAATTCATAAGCAATGTATCAATCAACAGACCCTCAGTCAATCAATCAATCAATCAATCAATCAATCAATCATAATCCCCAATCTGCACACCCCAAATCTTCCACCTCATCTCCTCAATATAATCCCTGCGTAGCCAAAGTCCATCCGAAGCACCGACTTGGCCCAGCAGACCCCCATTCTCAGATCTTTCCTGCTCCTCCCTCTGCCTCTCCGCGAAGCGTTCCTCAGCCGAAGACAAGGAAGACGAGGACGAAGCATCAATCCAATTAAACAACAACCGTAACTGCCAGATGCGATCGCGGACTTCATCCGGATCAGCAGCGCGGCCACGCGCCGCCTGGATGGTATTCTTGACGATGGCCTCGAGGACGAGTTTGCTGTCCACGGCGGATTGGCGCAGCCAGGGGGCGTAAGAGAGGGCAGTGGTGTTGCTGTTACTGGTACTATTGATAGTGGGGAAGAAGGAGGAAGGCAGGACGAGGGACTTTTCGCGGACGTCCAGACCTCGCAGGGAGGGGAGATTGAAGATCCATTCCCACATGCTCTGGGTGGGGGAGGTAGGGGTACGATTGACGCCGGAGGTGAGGAGGGTGGCGAGATTGGGCATCGCGGCTGGGGGAAGACCCTTGCCGTGGTTGGAGGCGGAGGTGGAGGATGGGAGGACGTCTTGGGCTTCGCTGAGGCCGGAGAGTGTGGAGACGAAGACCGAGGAGCCGGTAGGGTTGTAGGTGGCTTTGCGGCGGAGGTAGATGGACTGGTCGCCCTGGTGGAACTTCTGGCGTAGGCTAGGGTCCTTGGAGAAGTCCAGGACCAGGGGCCAGTAGTCTGCGTTGCAGATCTCGACTCGGGTGAGGCTGTTGAAGTCGGGGAGAAGACAGGGTGCGGTGATCTTGCGGCTGATGCCGTCTTGGTTGGTTAGGGTGATGGGAATGGAGATGGGTCGACGGGTGTCGATGTCGCGCGGCACCAGGCAACGAGGCTCTGCAGCGAGGACCCAGAGATGCCTGAAGGCTTGTAGATGGCATTTGTTGTCCAGGACGGTTGTAGGGAAGATCGGGTACAAGGAGCAGATCAGTGAGGCAATAGCAAGGTCGGAGGTGCCGAGGGTGTAGCTGCCGCCGCCCAGGAACAGTAGGCCCAGGGCCATATGCGCCGCCATATGGCTGCCGTAGGGAGTGTCAGCGTCTACGCGGCCGTGAAGAGAGCGCAACCGACGGAAGAGCGCCAAATCACCGGTGCCTGCCATGACAGCGGCGGCAGAGAGGGCCACGACGTCCTGGCAGTGCCGAACGGAGTTGCGAGCCAACTTGGCGTCATAGTTGACAGCAGGAAGTCTGCAGATGCGGATGAACTGGTCCAGATATGCGAGAAGCAGATCACGCACGGAAGTTTGTGCAGAGCCCGCATAGCGAAGACCCAGGGTGAAGCACAGGCCAGCGACAATATTGAAAAATGGCATATCGTCACTCTTCAGGCGACGGACACCGGTGAGGCGATACCGACGGCGGTAGACTGGCGGCAGGCTCTGTATGAACCAGTCATCCGTAGAACGGATGCTGTCCCACATGATGAGATGTTTGGCAAGAGTGCGGAGAAGGAAAAGGTCAGGCCGAACATAGTCGAAGCGCACTGTGGTGTCCGGGATATCAATCTTCTGGGCTAAAATCTCGTCATTGGTCTTCATGAAGATGATCGCCAAAGCAATTGTAGCACCGGCCGTGGCCCGGTCCAGGACGTGCGCGAGATCCACGTTCTTTGTGCCCACTGCAACGGCCAACAACCTCTCCACGATGTGCATGTCGCGCATTCCTCGGAGGTCTTTACCTTTGGCCAGGTTGATAAAGCCAAGAGCAAGACCTGCAGCCAAGCGATATCCTTCATCGCGCAGGTCCTCGTGGGAGCCCTCCTCCTGCTCCACGTTTTCGATCTCTGACAGCATCACTTCACTCATTCTTCGATGTTGAGATCCGCAGTAGAGGAGGCCGATGCCCATGATGCCCGCTGTTTGTGTCAACGGCGACAGATTCAGCTCAGCAGCACCAAGAGGGAGCATCCGGGTGACATGAACGGAGAGAAGTCGGGTTATCAGGGTGTCCATCGTGCCCAGATACGAGGCTGACAATCCGAGCAACAACCCAATGGACGTCATCGTATGTTTGGGGGTGAGATATTTGAACGCCACCCACTTGGCCAATGATTTGAGATGCCCGTTCAAGCCCAGTGCCAACAAGAAGCCCGCATGTCTGTTAGTAAGCTCCTGAGGTTTGTTGAAGAGTATCCAGGACGTGTCAATGCCTTTGGAACTCTTCGAGATAGCAAGGCCGGTGGAGACGCCGTTATGAAAGAACGCCCAACACACTTTTTCCTCGCTAAAAGAAGCTCGGTCCGCGCTGATTGTCACATTCGACGGTTTCATGACGCACTGCAGGGAGAACGAAGGAATTGGGAGCTTCTCTGTCAGCAATGGCAGTCGTCCGCTGAAGGTCAACATGGCCCGACCCGTGGGAATGGAGAGCGTCCTCAGCGTCACAAGCTGTACTACCTCTTTCTGGGCCTCTAGCAGGTCCGAGTCGGTCCATTCCGGCTCAGGTATGCACTCTGCAACCGGCGCTTTGGACTGATTCAGCAACCGAGCGGCGTCAATGAAACGCTTATCCTCACGGAAGATCAGCCTGGTTACTGAGAACCGGTCTGCCTCCGCAGAAGCTTCGAACGAGTTGGTTGCATCCACATCCAATGCAGAGGTACCGATATGATGCACATCGCGTATGGCATCGTGCGAGACTGCCGGCTGCAGCGACGACGTGGCCGATGGAAGCCATGGCTTGTTCCTACCCATAGAAATGCTCAGATCTTCGCGATCAATAAGCTCGAGCAGCGTGGAGCTCCAGGACGTGGATGCATGCATTTGTGACTGCA